TCCTAAGAGTAGGCTAAAATTATGGGGAGTGTATGATGAAACTGGGTGATGAGTTTCAAGAAAGAAAGATTCAGAAAACAGATTCTAGGAGGTAAATGAAGAAAAACTGAATCTCAGAGTTATACCGCATGGTTTTCCGGGTGACTGGGTTCTTGTGCCCTGTTCCTGGCCTGTCTCATCTAAGAATTTAGTGCCAAGAAATTGTGCTGCTTATACTCAGAGCAAAAACCATTTGGAAGCATCTTTCACTCCCTTCCTTCTCTCCCATCCGCATCTAATTCATGAGAAGGTTGTCTTCACCCTCACAGGTTATCCAGAACCTGATCACCTCTCACCATACTGACTATGACTGCCCCAGCTGAAGCCGCTGTCATCTTTCCCGGCAAAGGCCTCCAAATTTGTCTCCTTCCTTTGACGCCCCCATGGTCTACTCACTCAGTAGCCAGGGTGGTCCTTTAATACTGAAATTGCATTATTATATTACTGTTCTCAAAGCTTTCCAACGATTTTCTAGTGCATTTGGAAAACACAGTTCTTACTCTGCCTGCAAGGCTCTCTGTAGCCTGCCTCTTGACCACCCCTCGTTTTCTCTGGCTCTCCCCTTCCTATCTTGACTCACCTGGTTTCTGTACTTTCCTAGAAATACCAAGCACTCTCCCTCCCTGGGATCTTTGAACATGCTGTTCTTCTGCCTAGAATACTCCTTGCCCCCCTGTTCTTGTGCTCACTCCATCATTTTATTCAGGGTTCTGAGGCCTGCCCTGGGCATGGCACCGAAATAGCTCTCTCCGCCTCTCCCCCCTGCATTTTCTGACATCATGTTATGTATTGATGCATTTCTCTCCGTCTGCCCCCGGAGAAGGTAACCTTTCCAAGGTCACCAACTCTGTCTTGCTCACTGCTATGCATGTCTGTTGTCTGAAATTGTGTCTGGCACATAGCTAGAGCTCAAGAATTACTTACTGAAAGAAAAGATGATGAATGCATGGTTGAGTTAAGTGGTTCACTGATTATTTGGGCAGGCCTATTTCTTTTTTAGGGAGTCCTGACTTTTACATTCTTCCCGCCTCCGTCTGTCCTACATGTATTTATGTTAACAAAAATGTCCTTGTATGGATTGTTTCCCTGTGCATTCAGCATTCTAATTACCAGCGCTCGCATTTTCAGAGGGTCGGGGTTCCAGAGTGGCTGACTGTACGCTCTCTCGCTAATAGTGGGGACACTGGAGTTGTTCTCAGGAGACTGATGATGGCAGGTTTACCTAAGGTTCAGAATCACCAGGGAGAAATGTGGGGAAATTGACTGCAGAGCTTTGAAAAAGTGTTTTTCTTCAAAAAGTCATCTGCTGTGACTGTGAGAGTGGGAATTTCAACTTTTATAATTACAGATTCTTTCATTTGGATTATGTTTTGTTTCTCCTGTTTGCCTGCAGTTATTTCCTGAACGTACTCAAATTTGACCCTATGTCATCACAGTGCTCTAATTATAAAAAGGTTGGTTATAAAATATTCTCAAATTGTATTTGTGTTTGAACTGGGAGAAAAATTGTTTTGGCAATGCGAAATACTGCCAGTCGGTTGTCACTGGCAGGCCAAGACTAACATTTGCGTGTCCTCATAGCGACTAGGCTGATGGCTGAATTTGCTTTCTATGTCCTCTGATCAAGCTTCACGGGCTTGCCACTCACTATGTTAATCTACCAGATTGTCATTTCATTAAGTAGATGTGCTTTAGAATCAGGTAAACCTGACTTTGAGTCCTGCTTCCACAACTTATTTAATTAAGTCATTTTAGAAGTATTACTTAGTCTTTATGCTGATTCTCTCATTTGTAGAGGGGGAAATCATATTTCCTCACTGTGTTGTTGGGAGGATTCAATGAAATAATGCACCTAAATGGGTTATGCCTTGTCTGCCGCAGAGGGAGCATGCAGAAAATGTTGGTTGTTATTATTACTTGGGGGATGTGTTATGACACCGTAGCAACCCAAATAAATTAATGCCTTGTCGATCCTGTTCAGCTGGACCCTTTGACAAAAGCAAGTGGCTCTTACAGTCACTTTGGTAAGTCAGTGTGTGAATAGGCTAATTTCTTTCTTTCCATGGCCCTCAACTCTACCTGAGGCATTTCCCCGACTGATTTCAAAGCGTTGCTCATTCATAGGAGGTAGGACTCTGGCCTTGGAGAATCCTCGTATTTCCCTCCTGAGCAGAGAGACAAAATGAGGATGTGTTGAAAGGCTTCATAGTTGGGAGAGAGAGAGAGGAAAAGACCTGGTTTTTGACATGGACTTAGCAGTTAAAGAGAGTGTCCCAGGCAGCCCGAAAGCCAAGCTGCTCAGAGGCTGGCCGACTAGCCCCGTGACAGCTTCTGAAGGGGCAAGGGAGCCGCTGGAGCCCAGGGAGCTGCTTTGATGCCTCAGTCTGTCAGATCCTAGAGGCGCTTTCCCAGGTCAGTGGAGTTCAGGATGATTGGATTTCATGGCTGCTGGTGATTTGTGACTAAACATAGATAGCGCTTTTGAAAAAAGAAAGATAAAGGGATGAGCAAAGACTATGACAAGCCCTTCATTTAAAAAAGGAATGTAGAAGTCCTTTGCTGGGAGGCTTCCTCCTCTGCCACTTGCTGGGCTGGCATTTCTCCCCAGTGCTAAACTGTCTCTGAGCCATCGTGATAAAAGTCTCATATTTCTTTAGAGGATTTGTCACTTGCAAGTGAACAGAATTTGTGTGTCTTTGCTTAATGAGCTACCAACAGGGTTTTTGTTACCTTACACAAAACCAAAGTCATTAAACTTTCCGTTTCGTTTTTCTCTGTTGAGACTTCCAAAATTCCTCCATTGCTAATTTTTAGAGGGCCATGGCCAATCTATTGAAAAATCAGTTCTTACAGCCTGGACCATTTCTTTCAAATAAACAAACAAATCCCTGTGACTTGCTGTAATTCTAAACTTCTTTTACACTCTTTGCTGAACTTGGGTTGCTGGAAGGCGTCCAGTGGCATTCCCAAATCTCTAACATTAGGACTTTTGGTAAAATCAATGACATCCTCATAAGTAAAATGTGAATTGTGTGCTTATGTGTGTGAGTGTTTTCTGTGGCAGCAAGGGGGCAAAAGGCACATGTAGAAGTTACAGAAGAAAGGGAATTGGTATTTATTAAATATTTATTCTTATGCCAAACTCATCGTTTGTATTATTACCCCTATTTTACAGATGAGAAAGCAGAACTGGGCCAAAGTCACATGACTTAGTAAGTTAGTGGCAAGGCCTGGGTCAGTTTGAGCCTAACGCATGCTTGTCACCTACACCACCCCTACCCCGTTTTTGCCTATCTTATTTGCTGTCATAGGAGCCTTGGAGACCCCCCAATCTTTATAGCCAGAGAGCTCTTCTTTCAGGGAAGCTTTAGAGAAAGAGCATTTGAAATGAGCACTTAGTAGCCACCTACTCCAACACACCCCTCCCTCGCTGTGTCTTGACATGGAATTCAGAGCTTCTGTGCCCTAAGACTCAGAGCCAGGAGGACCTGGCCTTGTGCTTGAGTGACCATAGAGAATATGAGTGAGGGGACTACTCCGCGTGAGAAGGGCTTAGGAGCTTCACCTCTGGAGAAGGGCTACCTCTGGGCAAACTTCTCTCTCAGTCTCACACCCAGGAATTAGGAACGTATTATTGTTTGTATCCACCAGCATAAGTAGGACCTGAACTCGACTCCAAACTCTTGCCCAGCCCACTCATGTTCAAGTCTTGGAAACCATAGGAAAGTACAGTAGCAAGGCAGAGGCGGAACAGCTGTGCTACAACAAACCCTAAAGGTTTATCCAAGTCTTTTCTCTGCAGTGGGCTTTTCACAAGAATAATGGTTCTCAGCTTCCACGCCTTTTAGAAGGAAGGCATTTATTATGAGGGGTTTCACCACTATAAGGTTTCTTAGAGATTTGCCTCCTGATTTCAACATCCGTTACTTGATTTCAATTTTACTCTTGTTTCTATAAGGCCAGAGTCTTGGTGACATTTGCCCATTTTTATTGCTGTTTGTTTTCTTTTAAACAATCACAAAGCTGAGAACTTTTTCCTGAAATCTGAAATGGGACAGCAGATACGAAAATGTTCTTGGGTTTTGTTTATTGTTTCAGGAGTTAATGACTCTCCTGGTATTTATGTCAGTGCCATAGAATTACATTAAAACTGTGGCCTTGGGGAATGCTGTAGTAACCCACAAATGGGGGTGCTGTCTGAAAAAATTCTCTAGGTATGAGTGTAGTGTTGTTTTGGTTGTTTTGTTTTTTGCCAGTTGTGTCCAGACTCCATTGTGTTTTCACTCTTTATTTGTGTGTGTTTTCTATTAGTATGTGTCTTAAACCAGTTACAAGCCAGGAGGACATATTGCTAAGTCTGTTTAAACAGCAGCATATCTGCATATGGGGGAAAAAAAAGTCCCTATCAATTAAATACAGGGTTACTTTATTAACTCATTTTTAATATGTATACCTTTCACAGGTAGACGTACTTTCCTTTATCAAGAAAGTTAAAAAGTTGGAGGTCATTTCAGCCCATTTAAATTAATATATTCCCAACTTCACATATTCAAACAGTATCCTACTAATTAAAAGAGAAAGGCCAGATTTCCCACCATGTTTTCTAGAGTTTTGTGACATGAAACCCCATCACAAGTCCAACTGCTAGGAATTAGGCTCGTTTGGTTTCCAACTCCTTCTTTCAATTCTTCACTGTCTTACGGCTTCAAAGCTGAGAAAAATGTACTGTTTATCCACATTTCCTTCCTTAACGCTTCTCATCTCGCCAGGCTGCTGTGACTTCTCTCTAGGACATAAAGGGACTTAGTGTTCAAAGCCAGTAGACTTCCTTAGCCATAGGCAAAGATTTGACCCTAGAAAGAGTGATTATTGTGCCCACTTGGTGTCATGACTTAAGTTTTCTTTAGATTTTATATTTTCCTTATTTGTTCTTCTCCTTTTAAATAAATCAAACCACACAGGTATTCCTGGAGGACTTCCGAGTGGAAAGAATGCCAAGTGTCCCTCCTCCTGGAGCAGCAGGACCCCCACTGGCATGTGACGGGACCCGCGTGTGGAGGTGGGATCCAGAGCCGGGAGGTGTACTGCGCGCAGGGCGCACCGGCATCCGCGCAGAGGGCCAAGGAAGGTAGGCAGCCGGTTCCAGGGACAGGTGGGAAATCAACCCCAACCTTCTCTCCTCATTTTGGATACAACGGACCCTCAGCATCCCCAAATTTATTATTTGTTTTGTTGACTATTTGCATATCACTCCTAAATTCTGCTGCTTGCACTAATTTGGAATAGGTTGAAAACATAGTAATAATTTAAAAATCAGCCTCAAAGGATCACTGTGAAAGTGAAATGAGAAAATATACCTAAGATCTGTAGCCCAAATGATTACTACACGCTGAGAGGCTGGAGTGAGCCGACTAGGAACGGATGAGTAGTAGGATTGTTTTGCTGTGTTTTTTTTGGTGTGTGTGTGGGAATTTCTGAATGTGGGAATTTCTACAGGCATATCACTTTTAAATGTCAAGGTCAATGTGAATTTATTGCCAAGTCGATCATTTTAAATTTTGCGAAAGGAGGAGGCGGAGAAGCAGTTTCCTCCGTGGCAGGCTTTCTACTGGGCAGCTGAAACCTCTGCACTAGTCCATTGGTTTCAGAGTTTGGGACAGTGATGACATACAGAGACTGAAAAACTGGCCCAGGTTTACTTAAGCCAACTGTTTGAGAAGCCAGCTTACCCGGCCGGGCGTGGCTCAGCAGTTGAGCGTCAACCTAGGATCCAGGCGATCGGGGTTCGAGTTCCGGTCAGGGCACATGCCTGGGTTGTGGGCTCCATCCCCAGCCGGGGGCGTGCAGGAGGCAGCCAATCAGTGACTCTCTCATCATTGATGCTTCTCCCTCTCTCTCTCTCCCCCTTCCGCTCTCTGAAATCAATAAAAGTATATTAAAAAAAAAACACAAAAAAAAAACAGCTTATTCTTCCAGACCTTGGTGATCTTTCTATTCCACCTTCGCCTCCCCTTTACTATTGTCTGCAGTTCTAGGGTAACCAGGGGTAAATACATAAATGAGAATTTATGACCTATCTGTTTTCAGCTTCAACTTTTAATCTTCTCCTGACATTTTCACCTTCCTAAAGTTTCTTCAGTAAAAAATAGCTTTACTTATGGATCACCTATTTCTAAGTTTCCTCAACCTTAATCTTCCAGCTTTCCTAATGGAAACATATTGGGCAGGAAGATTGTAATTAGGAAGAAGGTTGATGAATGGTGTTCTAGAGTTGAGCATGACATGCAGGCAAGGGGGTTAAATAGAGGAGGGGTGTTAAACATAGACTTAGCAGCCTATTCAACCCTGCTGCAGTCTGCTTCATGCATCTAAAGAATAGGGGAAAAACCCTTAGTCCAAGTCAGACCTTCAGATTAGTATGTGGGTTCACATGGAAACAAAAAGACTTAGAAGGTCCTAAGCCTGGTAGCCCAGCTCTCGGTGGGGGTAAAGGGTTGAGGTGGCCTTAGATATGGGAACAAGAAGTAGACACATCAGTGTATACCAAGACCATGTACCCTTGTACAAAATTAAATACTGTGAACCAAACTATTGCTGCATTGCGAAATACAACACAGCCACAGTTGCATTATAGGCATGGTACAGCTTACTACTTACCTTTGTAGACATTAACAAAGGTTTTATTTTGCTCTTGCATGGAAGTGAATCAGAAAGATTGTTCAGCCATTACTCTCCTTTCTTATAAACGCTCTCCTTTCCTGCTGTTATCATTTATAGAGCTATCTTGACAAATCTGGCAACCTGAGAATTTCTTCTTGGCTCAAGTTAAACACAAGAGAATGATTGAATTGTCATTGTAAGGGACCAATGAGTGTGTTTGCCCAATTAAAGTGACAGAATTTAAATATTTCTAACATTTTCTGCTAATGCAGAGAGAAAGCCAAAATTGATGACAATTTTGCATTTCAGGTTTTGTAGACATCTTTTGTTATGATTGTTATTATGTTAGATTTTTTAGGGAGAAAGAATTTTAATAGCATCAATTTTGGAAACTTTTTTCTCAGTCACAGTTGACTTTCCCACAAGGTTAATTTCTCCTTAGACTCCAGGATAGTCCCTTGTCTCTGGAGTGGAAGTGCTTGGCGGTGCTTCCCTACAGCATCCTGCTGTTCACTGTGAGTTAGCTGCACTGCTTTCCAAGAACCTAATCCTAGTGGAATTCATGACCCTTGGGGGTTGGAGAAGAGGAATACCCCCCCACACACACACACACAATATTTATTTCTATAGATCTCTCATTCAATAGGATTTCTAGATGCCAGAATGGAAATTGGGGAAGAATGCTAATTCTCTCCCTAAGGCCTCCAAGTCTCTTGCTGAGGCTGAATTTTGTTCTGTGGCTATTTATTCTTGCTGATGTCCCAGTCTCCATTTGACCTCAATTCATGGTGTTTGTAGGAACAGTATAATAACAGCTATAGCATATTTACCTGGTTCTATGGTTCAGTGTTCATGTGATGTTTTAGCTGCAGCCAAAATTGTGCTGTAACAATCAATATGAGAGATATTACCAGTAATAGTAGTCACACCAATAGAATTGGGGATAAAAATATAGAGGGGTATTTATGATTTTGTTTACCACTTATTGTTGCAGAGAGAATTGTGTTTCTTTTTATAATTCGGAAGCACCAACAAGAGTGATGTTTACCTGCAAATCTAAAAGCTTGGGTTTGGTGAGACCAATTTCTTTTCCCCCTTTTCTCAAATGAAATTAAAGCTACTTAGCCTGCATTCAAGGGTGATTTCTCGGAAGGTAAAACACTGAAACAAGGAACACACCTTTAAAATCTATAAAGACTATAATCTATAAAGTTATTCTATTTATGACAATGTGGCCTAGAGACTGGAATATCAACAAATATGGAGTGAAACAGCATAGAGATAGAATGTATTCATTAGGGGAAGAAAAAAGATAAAACCAAAAACCCCACAAAAGCTAAATAAAAAATTGGGTAAAGGTATTGGTGTGGCTGTAGTTAAGTAGAACGCCACCTTTTTGTTTGTTTTCAAATTTAGCTTCATTATTTGACATCAAATAGATAAAGCTATTTTTAAAATGGAACATACTTTAACTTTGAATTGTTGAATCCATTAGTTCACCCCTGCACTCCAGTAAGATTCAGCAGTTCTTGAAATTCCTGTCTTTATCATGCTGGGCCCGGACTTGATATTAAGGGGGTGCGTGATGTCCTGGAACACTGAGTATTATATGAAGGCTTCATATATTTTCAGTCTCACTAGTGTATGAAGACTTACTGTGTTTTGGTTCTGGGTTTTAATCTGACCTGTATAGAATTTTGATAAGCCACACAAATGTTTTTCCAGGCTTCTAGTTCATTAAATTGGTTTTAAATATATTGATGAGGTGAATAAAAGGTGGATGACAATGACACATTCATTTTTTTAAAATAAATTATATATCAGCTATGTTTTAGGCTATGTACTAGACACTGTTATTATCAAGGTAGCCTTCATTAATTTATAGTCTCTTAATTGGAACGACAGTTGAACTGACAATTAGGCTATTGTGTCTTACTAATGTGATCGTTACATATGTGTATACAATGTGGGGCAAAAGTAGGTTTACAGTTGTCCATATGGAAAATAATAAACAATTGTAATTGTTTATTAATAAATTGTTTATTAATAAATAATTAATAAACAATAATACAAGAATAAACTGTGTTTCACTTACAATGGTAAACCTACTTTTGCCCCACCCTGTGTGTTGTGTGTGTGTTGTGTGTGTGTGTGTGTGTGCGTGTGTGTGCGTGCGTGTGTGTCATGGTATAAGGATGCCTGAGGGTAATCTTCACAGAGGAGGTAACTCCTCATGAGAGTTTGGAGGATCACCAGGAGAGAATGTTCTAAGCGGAGCCGAGAGCACATACGGAAAAGAAGGGAGGCGTTTACATTCAGGAGTGGCCGTGCCCTGGTGAGAGGAGAGCACTGGGAATAAGGGAGTCACCGTGACCCTGGAAAACTAGGCCTCTGTCTACTCTGGAGTTCAGACTGTTTTTGAGACCCTGGGTACCCACTGCAGTGCTTTTTCTCACTGCAGGCTTTTAAGCAGAGAAGAAACCTCATATTCTTAGCTGTATCTAAAGATGTAGAAATGTTAGTATGCTAAGAAAATTCTCATAAGCGGTCATGTCCTATTTGCAAACTTATCTGATTATCTAAGAAGTTGTTAGATATGAGATAAAGTACTTCACCTTATGAGCAGAAGAACAGATTTCTTAGGGGACAACCGAAGGAGATATTTCGCCATCATTGGAGGCATACCAGTGTCCTTTACCTGTCTTTAGAAATTGGTTTTAAAGTCAATAAACTCATTTGGGTGTAGAATAAAGTGTCGGGAAATAATGCACTTAGAACTTCCCTGAGCATTAACCCTTAGAGGAGGAAGGAGGCTGTTTAAAGGGGGCGGCAGCATTTCCTCTTGCTTTGTGCTAACCGAGGAAAGCAGAGTTGACTGGATAAAATAATGTTTGCTGATTAACAGCAGGATATTTGATGGTAGTTCACTTGAGAGCATGAAACAGGTCACTGGCCTGTGAACTTTCTACCTTGGAAACATAGTTGTTGGGATATATATATTTATATAGTTCAGATATTCTCTCCAAAAATCCAAAAGTAGGAAAGCTGAGAAAAGTTTAGGAAAAAAACATTAAATACTCAGAGGCACTTAGGTCACGAGGAGTCTAAATTAAGATTGGTTTCTACTGGTTCTGTTTCATTGCATTTGTATCTCAGTTTAGTGGTTTTCTTAATCAAGTGAAACATACTGATCTTAGTGCGCAGTAGCAAGTGTTTGCTGAATTACTGTGCTTAGCAAAAATATTGAAGCGTTCCTACTTCAAGCATTCATTAAATTATCTGGCTGTTCTTGACATTAACATTTTCTTAATTTATTTAGCTCAAGGTGTAATTCACATGATTGAAATGAGAGCAGGAGAGAATGGCCCTGGGAAAAGTGATAGCAGCAGGATGTTTCAGGGGAAAGTGTATCGATGAGTAAAGGTTACTCCTGGGGAGGGAAATTGCTTGTGGAAAAATAGGCCTCTT